AAACTCGTCCCCCGTAGCCGGGCCTAGCTCTCCTGGCGCCCGTTGCCCGCGCCCCGAGCGCCCTCTTCCTGCCTCTGGGTCGGGTTTGTCGGGTGTCGGGCTCCTCTTTAGCCGGCCCCCCCCGGGGTAATACGGAGCCTGCAGCGGTCTCGTTTTGCTGGCTCCACGATGTTGGCCTTTCTGGCAGAGGTCTCGGCTCCCGTTCCCCCTTTTTTACCTATTCCGAGGGGACTAGCGCTGTATTCTTTGATTCAGGATCAGGTAGTCATTCCTTTTTATCGTGCAAGGTAATCTTCGTATGCTGAGGGGTCTGGTTGCAGCTCCCCAAATCAATCAGGGCCTTCTGTGTATCTGTTTTAAGTAATCTTGACAGGTTCACTAACTGTGCTGCGTGCTGTGTTGTAGGAGTACATCTGTTCAGGGGGTTCCTCACCAGTTTGTCTTTCATGTTACGATGTCATCTTGGATAAGGATGTCCTGTGTAGTAATTATATGTTTTTAAATACCCTTATTTTAATTATCCTGTACACTTCTGGTTTTTGTTATAATTAAAAAATCCTATAGTTTCAAATTGGGGGATCACTTTGAGAAATGCCTCTTGATATTCTCTCTTTTTGTTATTTTTCTTTTGTTCATCTGCTTTAAAAGGTTGTGCAGCTATGGTAATGATCTTCCCTGTACGTGAAGGAAAAGGTAGTGGGGTAGAGAAGAGAGGGCATAGAAGCTTCCTGCCCAAAACACTGTTCTCCACAGACCCTCCATTTTGTAGTGAAGAGGCCCCCCTTTATAGCCGTGTCACTTTTGGCTTTGAGTTGTGCTAGAACCATTGTAACATTAGTATGTAAGTGTGTTTGGATGTGCATGATACAAGGCTAATGAAAATGTCTTCTGTACCCGCATTTCCAACAATAATAAACATGTTCAGGAGCCTCCAGACAATGCTGAGGTTTGCATTATGTTTTTAATCTGCTTAAGATTTTATGGCAATAGCTGAATTTGCATCCAGAATGGCAATATTATACAATAAACACACTTTTTAATGAACTTCAGTGTTTAGAAACTTCTGTATGAATAACAAAGAATAAAATGTATAAATGAATAGTGATACCTTTACAAAAATGCACAAATGACAATAATAAACCACATTGCCTGTTTATACATGACATTACATACGTGGAGCTGCGCTTGGTAGCTTTTCTGTAAAGGTCGTTAACATATGATTATGATTTTTTTAACTTACCCTGCTATGATCACTGAGATTGTGTGGAGTTTGCATGAGGACAGAAATTTCGTAGTTGATCATATAATGGCAACTACATTTTTTTTTAATTTGAATTCCCCAACCTTTTAACTGTGTAAGAGCCAAGTTACCTTAGCTTTTGGCCATGGTAGAACCTTTTTTTGATTCTCCCCTCTCCCTAGAGCAGTACTTCTTAACCATGATGGGAAGAAAGTGTTAATCTGCTGTGGGACCAAAATAAAAGGACAGGCTAGATTTATGTATTTGTGGCATTTACACTTCATTTGGAATCCTGCTTATATGCAGTTCCAGGCATGATTTGAAGAGTAGTTTGCAAAAGAGGCCATACATTTTAAAAGAAATGTGATTGTGTCTGGATAGCAGTTGTCAGTTTTTGCAGTGATAGTTTTATAGGCATGTGGAATATGCATCAACTTACTTTCTAGGAGAAAAGAATGTATCTGTAGCCAATATCTAGAGAACTTTTTAGGAAACTTGATCTTAAGTGTGTAACTTTGTGTTTCTTTTTCCAAAACTTTCTATCCCTTCTTTTACTGGAGGAAAATAAAATTATAATGCTATTTTTCAAAAATGAAACACAAGAAATATTTTAAAACATTATTTAAAGGGAAATAAATTTAATGATACTTATTATTTTTATGGAATTATTTATTTTATACAAATATGCCCAGAAATGTAAATTAGGTCGAGGCCTAAGTCTAGGCCAGAATTTTTCAAAGTTAAGGCAATACATTTTATTGATAAACAAGTTAGAAAAGTGGGGAGTGGAAGGATACTGCAAAAGGACAAAACTGACATTTCCAGCAAATACAGAATTTGCAAAAATTTTTGAAGGTAGTGGTTTTTTTTTTTTTTGTCTCTATGGTAGCTTGGTCTAATAAAGCCTGTGCATGAAGTCAGAGAACATTCACTCTTGTATGGAGGAGTTTGTTTTGTTTTTAAACAAATGGTGGGCTTATTCACAGGGAGACAAATACCAACTTTGTTGAAAAGTGAGGATTACAGGAAAGAACCCCGCATAATTAGCAGAAAGAAAAGATTAGGTCTTGTAGAAAAAAATATTTATTTGCTGGAGCATGAAATGGCTTACACGATCTGACTAGATCAGCCTGAGATAGTATTTTGGCAGTTTCTAGTTACCTAAGTGAAATGTTTTGAGGGAATATGAAATTCTGTAGAGAGAAGTAATTGATTTGTTTTTATTTGGCATTTCAACTTCTTGCTGTGATGAGTAATGGATACCCAAGATGATCCCTGTATGTTTCCTTATGTTTTCTTTCTGAGCGGCATGGTGCTGTTCTGGCTGTCCTTGAAAATGTACAGGATTTGTAATATTGCTGTAGTCTGTGGGAGGTGCTGTTATTGGGGCTTACCCGATTTTTTAATTGCATTTTACATGCATTATATAGTTTTATCTTTGGATGAGGGGATGTAGGTTTTAGTAGAGTGGAGAAGTCATCCGTTGTAAGCTTGCGGCGATGAACTGCAAGATGAGAGTAACAGAATTTTCAAATGAGCTCTTAACAGCCAGTTTGGATCTGTTTAACTGAAAAGTCGACCTGACAAATTTCCGTTGTCCTGGGCGTTGTTTAAGTGGGAAAGTGTTGTGTGGCTTTTTTCTGAGTTGATTAATCGTACTAATATTGACATTTTTATTCTGGTTTTAATTTTTATTTTATTTATGATGTGCTCAGTTGCGACTAGATGAGCTAATCTCAGTTTAGTACTAGCAGGGAGGGCTTGAGCCCTGTGTTCATCCGCCAGGGCACTCTCTACTTGGTGCTTGTCTGCCCCCCGGTAAGCTGCTTCCACTTGCAAAGTTGGCGGAAGGCTTGTTTCTGACCAGTTTTCTGCCAGGCTTGTCAGTTTATGTAACGGATTTAACTGACACGAGGGCTAGAGCTCTGTGGCCAAGAAAGGAAGAAGTGTCGGTGAATATGTCCATTTCTGCAGCAACCAGCTGTTAAATCGGCTCAGCTGTACTGCCTGGCAGCACCTTCCGGAAAGGCATCCTCCTCTGGGGACAGAGTGCCTGTGTGAAAGACACAAGCACAATTATTAAGTTGGATCCAAGGAGTAATACCAACATCTTCTTTTCTACTACCAAAATTTTCCCAGGTAGACTTTCACAAAAATAACTTACTTTTTTTCCTTCCATTTTAATAATTCTGGGGGTTTTAATTACAAATATAAAGCAAGTTGTTTTACAGACTGATCTTAAATAGGGCTTCTTGTTACATCGATTCACAGATTTGTGTCTTCAAGTAGTGTGAAGTTGATGGTACTATTTTGGCATTGCTGGAAAGGGAATTGGAAGAGGTTAAAACTTTTATTATTCAGTCCAAGCAGACAAGGTTGTTGCTCATGTAACCTGGTTGATGATATCACCTTATGACATAGGGGTCAAAGTGTGTATCTCAGTAGGTAATTTTTTTGAATCAGATGTTTCACTTGGTTGTTACTTGTACATAGAGTTTAGAAATGAGTGCCTATAAGGTAACTTCTTTACGGAGTAGTAATTAAAATTTATGAAAAGCTGACTTGGATCAAATTGGTACACCCTTTGGGGACAGCTGGGGAAAACCTCCTGTTGCTTCTTCAAAAAAAAAGTGCACTTTTCATTCGTGAAAAATAAAATAAATTACTTACTCCCCTATTGAGCTGTCTCTGTTCTGGTTATTTCCAAATATAGTACATTCTCTTCGATAGCATTTAGAATGTCTTAGCCATACCGTTGCTTTTTGCTGAGCTTGCATATTTCTGCTGATTACATTCTATGTGAAACTGCCCATTTCCCAGTTGTCTTTAAAGGTGCATATACCTTGTATTTGCTAATTATAATCCTTTGATTGCTGGAACACCTGTTTAGTCATAGAGAGGTAATAATCTCTGTAGGATGCAAATAGAATGAATAATGTATTGCTACAGAATCCTTTTTTACTGTTTATTTTTCATGATAAACCTCTGTAATAATTGCACATACCTGCCTTATTTGTGAACATGCTTAAAAATCGCTCCCACAGGAGACTGTAGTCTTGCCATCTCATGTAGGCATACGATGTAGCTCTGATACTGTCTGCAGTTTCTGCATGTGAAAGACTTTCTGATGAAAAATACGTGAAACTTTTGGTTGAAAATCTGCAAGTGTAAAGGAAGTTAAGGTAGTCATTGGTGTCTGTTAAAATATAGGTAAATCACTACCTTTTTATTTTTTTTTTAAACACTGTTGCTTTTAGATGTGAAACTGCTTTTGAAGCCTTGTGGTGGGATGACAGTAGTGGTAGAGGAGAGGGAAATTCCTTGTAGCTTAGAAGCATGTCCATTTCTAAGCAGTCAGTGTAGTAGAGAAGCCTGCTCCTTGCACATCTGTTTTATAACACACAGAACTATTATTTCACAGAACAGTCTGTAGAGTATTTAGTGTACTTTTTACATATACTGATGTGATTGAGTGGCCCTCAGGAGTGACTAAAGACAATGTAACATGCCAGGTCTTTGCGTCCTGTAGTGGATTCTTAGTGACTAGAGCAGGTAAAATTCTGTCTTACTGTTGAGAAAACATTGCATCAGGAAATCATGCACATAGTTTAATGTTAAAAATTTTTTACAGGCCACAGTTTGAAAACAATCATAGTCATAATATTTATGAGAAGCATTTCCTCATCGGTTAACAACAGTAGGTTAATGCTAGCGCTTCCATGCAAATTGCCTAGTGGTTCACTTCTCTGTGTGTGAGCACATGTAGTGTTAGGAAGAATATTTCTTTTTCAGTATATGATATATATATGAGATCTCTTGAGAGTCTTGTATTGGTTTACTGTGTAACTTGTGTGAAGTAGTGTTTACGCTATGAAAATTAAAATTCAGTCAGTTACGCTATGAAAATTAATAGCGTAATTTTCATTTTACGCTATTTTTTTACGCTATGTTTACGCTATGAAAATTAAAATTCAGTCAGCCATTTAAACTGCCCAAATTTAAAGTTTTTTTAGCCAGAAAAAAAAGCGCCCCAAAACATTTGATTTGGTATGCTAATATCTAACTATTTTATGTTTTTTCTTTTTTATTTCTTTTATTTCAGTGTGCAACTATGTCGCACTCTCAGTGAAAACAAAAGCCATGATAATATGGGTTTCAGAGGTAAGTTGGTGGTTTTTTGGTTGTTTTTCATTAAATGAAAAAATGCCTGGAAACAGTTGACCATGGTACCGCTGCATGTATCTGCTTGGAACATTAACGCTGATCGTTAATGCCTGCCAAAGGCGAATACTACAAATAGCAAGGTAATACACACACAGAGCTAGGTTTGTCTTCAGACACCCAGGTGAGAGATTTCTTGGAGAGTAGTAGGTGGTGTGCGGTAGTCCAGTATTTGGTCTGTGCTGTAGAAGATGGCATTCCATTTTTCAAACTCAACATACAACTGGATTTTATTCTGAAAGTTAAACACATGAGCACTAACGTATGCAGGTGTGATTGTGTACTGCAGAAAGTAATTTTTACAACCGTACCCGAGTAACAGACTTTTTCTTCTTTGTTGGTGAAAGACACTGCTGTCTTTAAGTTTTAAATTTGCACTTTAAGGAATCCTTGGTGTTTAAAGAAAAATTAAATTTTTGTTTGCTTTGCAGAATCTGTTGGAAGAAAAGTTTCTATGTTACAAATGTGCTGCGCTGTATAGCTGGTGTTTTGGGCTCTTGCTAAAGTAGTCATAATGGGCAATTGTAATAGCAGAAAAGATAAACCAAGACGTTTCAATATTAATTATAAGTAATATTATTAAGTAAGAAGCACTTGTTGTTCAACAAAGCAAAACCGCTATTCCCAAAGTTTTTGAAGAAAAGCCACCAAATGTTCTCTGTTCTAGACAGAGGTTGACAATTTCTATATGCTGTTTTCTTTTTCTTTGTCCTTGCTGTCAGGATCTAAAAGATCCAGTGGGAGTGACTAGATAAATACATGCAGTGGCTATACTGGAGGAATTAATAGACAGTAGAAATATTTGAAGTCCTTCTGGTGATGGAAAAGCCCCTGAAAATACAGATGATCAGGAGTGAGGTGCAGAGATGCTGGCTGCTAAGAATTTGTTAGAGTCCATGTGACGTGGATCCAGTTCTGAAAACTGCCCTGGCATTTGCATTTCTGCGGTTTAGTTCCAGAAAGAGGTTTATTGAAGTCCAGTGTGCCACAAGCTTATAGAGAGGGCTCAGATTTGGCGGTGTACCCCTGTAACAAATTCTCCACAATGTGGGGAGCCACCTGAAGAGGCGTGTCTGAGGCTACGCTTGTGGCTGGTTTGGGTTCATCATAAATTGTTAAATTGGGTGCTGCACCAAACTGTCCTCTTGAATTGGCCTTCCAAGTAGTAGAGTCATGTTTTACATAGAATTGGTGGCTAAACCAATCCTGCTATGTTAAAGTCTTTAGCAATTACTGTTCTTTGCCAAAAGCTCTGTGATAGGTAAAATTAATCTGTCCATTTAAAAAAAAAAAACAAAAAACCAAAAAAACCCCAAAAAAACCCACCCACAACCAAGAAACAAAAAACCTCCTTTTAATGCAGCTACAGTGGTCTGCAGTCACCAAGTTGAGTGCTTGATTTAAGTCATTAAGATCTGTAACTTGTATGCCCATGGCAAATACTGTTTATTGAGCAAACTGCATGGTACAAGCACAAGGTGTGAGCGTGGGGTTTCATTATTTTTCCTATACTAAAAATTATAGCAACATTTTGTCGTATGAGTTAAGAACAATTCCATAGAAGTTTACCGTAGCTGTTTTTGCAACCACCATGTTTAACATTGCAAGGGTTTTCTTGAATGCAATACCTCTGTTTAGTGTTTCAGCTTAATATAAGCTTTTGTAAAACAGCGTTCTCCAGTTGTGGGTGCCTTTCCTTAAAAAAAAAATAAAAATACCCCCCCCCTTGTTAAGCATTTTTTCTCCAATTAAATTTTACTTTGTCCTAGAGAGTTTTGTGAAAGCGTATCTGTGATGAGATATGATTAAGAAAAAGTACTAGAATATTTTCTATGTGTTTCCAAATTTATTTATATTACGTATGGTATGATACCTATATGAATTACAAGTTAAAGGTGTTTTTGTTAAACCAACTGCAAGACTCAGGTTATGTGCAGGACTGTAGTTTTTCATCCCACTTTACTGTTATTCCATAAACTCTCTAGGAAAAGTGGATCATCTCTTACTATCTATCTGCTTGTGTGAAGTCTTAGATACTGATCTCAAATTTAATCTGTCAGCAGTAATGAAGTAATCCCCTTCGTTGGTAAGAGAAGCATATCCTCTCTACTTAACAGGGTGTCTGAAGGCTACAGCATTATTGTGAACATTGCCTTAAAAGTTAGACCAAGGACTACCTAATGTGTTCCTTAATCATCTGTTTTCTTTCAACAGATATCCAGCAGGCTTTGTATGAGCTTGCATACCACGTTGTCAGAGGAAACTTAAAGCACGACCAAGCTTCTAACGTTCTTGGTGATGTCATAGTAAGTATAGATTTGTAATCATAGCACACTTACTAAACTTTCAGTTTGTTATAGAAGTCTGAATGAAAATCAGGCAGGGTAATACTCAACAGGCTTCTCTAAAATGTCGTTCATGTCAAGTCCTTTTTCTTCATCTGTGTGCACTTGCAATATACGTAGCCTGTCGGGTTTTGTTTTTTCCCTTGCTTTTTGTGGTGAGGAATAGCTATATTTATTTGAGCATGAATTAAAAATTAAATCATTTTTTAAGGGCATATGAAGACTGAAATTTTTAATTAATGCTAAAAACAGAATTCACTTGCTTATGCAGCATGTCTGTAATGCCACCTACTGGTTTTTATGATTTACATCTTTCTTACAGTGTAACAATGTGCGTGTCTGCCATTTTACCATTGAGATGTCTAAGTCCCAGGACTGCCTTTAAAATAATGCATTAGACTTATTTTTATTTGGAAAAGGTTTCTCTTAAAATGCTTTGAATAAATAGAGAGAGTAGGAAAAAGAGTATTTTCTTCTAAACCTCTAAGGTTATGAAATGTTGGTGTAACTGAAAACAAACCCAAACAAACAACAAAAAAACCCACAAAAAACCTGAAAAAATGAATTTAAAAACATCTTCTAAAACTGAGTTCTTATTCCCTGAAAGTTCTTAGATTGCTGTTTTGACATGTATAGAACATTAAGAAAAAATACTTTTGCAGTAATCTCTTCTAGGATAACTGTTTTAGGTTTTTAAACTTCTGCATTGAGTCTGAGAGAAGTCAAGTCTGAACTGCACCTTGCTTTGGGGTAGCTTGTGGTAACGTTTGAGCTTTAGTTACTGTAGGAAATTTGTTTGGTGCCTGAGAAAGTGTAGTTCACTGTACGGCCTGGTGCTGCTCTTCAGACGGGGAGTTCCATTGTGCTAGAGAAACGGAGGGAGTAACCAGAGGGTTTTGTCCCTGGCCACTAGATACTCTTAAGTTACATTAACATGTTATTTCATTACAGGTCAATAATTGGTACAGCAGTTAGGTTAGATATTCTTCAGTAATTTATCTTCTTCATTATTAATTTATCTGAATGATTACTTGTTGTTAATACAGTTAGTAATAATCTGCATTATTAAGTAATCTGAACTGTATGATGAAATATTGTTTTATGTAATGGGATAAGAATTTTTTAAGTGAACATATTGGAGCTTCTGTAATCACTAAGTATGATCCTTTTTCCTTTTCAGGAATTTCGGGAAGACATGCCTTCCATCCTAGCTGATGTATTCTGCATATTAGGTAAGCTGGGTTCCCTTCCTTTCAGCATTGTGACAGATTTGGAGAAATACATGCTTTGTGCATTTGCTTGTTGGCTTCTTCAGGAAATTTCGTTGAATTTGTAAAGCATGACTTCTCTTTACAGAATAGGTGTTGGTTCTTTCTCAGTGTATCTGCACTTGTTGTTAATATCTTTTTATTCTGTGTTGTTCTGTTACAGTTTCCAGAAGTTATACTTTTAAAGACAGTGGAAGTTGATCTGCCAAGAATAGTTAAAGGAGCTAGCTTGTAAGAATGTTGGATGTTAGCTAATGGAATCAGTCATTTAGTGTTCTTATCATTCGTACAAGTATTTTAAATAAAAGTTGACTTACTGGTGGGTAGATCTTCTGTTCTTGGAATGTGTTTTGTAAATATTTTTATCTGTATGGTCACTCTTAGTGACATGGAGCTTGTACTAATTGTCCAGAAATCTAAAGGCAAACAACATCGTTTGCCAAGTTACTATCTGCCAACTGAGCAGGCTTTAAAGACGTGTACTTCTCGTTCTGGTAATAACTTCTGGATTTTTATGTTGTAATGTTGATCCAAAGCTGTTTCTCTCATATTTTTAGAATTTTTATCCTGTATACTTTTTTACACATCATAGTTTTAACTGCTTGCAGTTTTTGTTTTGTTTTATGTATCTATGTAATTTCAACAAATTCTTTTGACAGTCTGCTCATCACGGACCCTGGTTGTTTTTTTTATACTGCAGGAGTGTGGCATCTTCTGTGCTGTGGCTGCCTGCGTACATGAGGCACCTCATTAAGTTTGCATGTGCAGCCTGGGTTCTGTAACATCCAAATGATGAATTTTGACTTTGTTTTATTCATAGTTTCATGCTGTGTCCTTGTATCAGCTTTTTGTGATGAGTATTTTTATAATGCAGTATTACGTTGATATCCTTTTGTTTTTTAAACTGGGTTAGAAAACAGATTTGTTGCTTCTTGAACTACTTGAATAACTGAAATTTGTGTATCTGCCTTTTTTTTTCTTCTTCTGCCACTCCTTCCCTTCAAATTATTGAAGGATAATGCTGTGTACCCGCTACTAGAAGAGAAATAGTACGGCTAAGGACCTAGCTTTCAAAGTTGACAATTTCTTGCTTGTTTTTAGTGAGTTTCCTCTAACGCTTTTTCCCTCTAACCAGTGCTTGCTACTATCAGGATTTTTTTTTTTCCCTAATGTCATCATCTTATAGTTAATGTGTTTCACTATATGAGAATTTTATTTTATCCACTCATCCACATTCCCTGGACTAATTTTTTTCCTGCAGATTCTTCTTTGGCTGAAGGACTTGGCTGCTAGGGTCCAGACTGAGCTGGCAAGTCTGTTGCCTCCAGTGCCACGCTGCTACGTCACTGGTTTTCAGTCTGTTTTGGGGCTTCTTTCTCAGATTTTTGTTGATTTCTTCTCTGTGGGTCTAGTTTTAATGTGGGTATGTGTGGGGTGGTTTTTTTTATTCTTCTTTTTGGTAATGTCTACCTTGCATTCTTTTATTCAGTTTTCCACTCCTTTTGAGCTCCTTGCTTCCTGTAACGCTATGCTTTTTTTTAAACTGCTTTAGACAAGTGTGCTTCCTGGGCCATTGTTTTGTGGCCTCTCTTCCCACAGGAGTGAATTTATGAATTGCATTCAGTAGCTGACAGTGCGAACGAAAAGAATGGAAATACGGAATCGTAGCTGGTAAAAGACTGCAGACCAGGCAGTGAACGGTAGTTACTCTGAAGACACGGGGAAAGAGACTAGAACATTGCTTTAAGGCTAGGACCACCCGCTTCTGAAAAGATTTGTATTTCTCTTCTTTTGTGCTTATTATTGAGTCTTAATGCTAGCCACAAACCTTATTGCAACGGAGAGAAGGGTGAGAAAAATGGTGGCGTCCCTCTGGTTTCTGTTCTACCTTTTCATGAGATTTGTGGATGTGTGAGAATTGTCATCAAAATATATGCCAGGCAGCTATCATGTTACAAACGAGCTGCTTTGCATTGTGTTATCATTAGCATTTATTGGAATAGTTATACAAAGGAGAAACTCTTATAAATTCCACAAGTAATGATTTCTTTTGTCATTTTTCTTTTCTTTTTATCATCCTTTATACTAGATATTGAAACAAGTTGTTTAGAAGAAAAAAGTAAGAGGGATCATTTTACCCAACTGGTATTAGCCTGTTTGGTAAGTTGCACTTAAAGTCTCTTGGTAAAAGTATATGCCAAAACCTGACAAGAAAAAGCAGGGAGTTTTGAAGCTGGTTTGTTGTTTTGGGGGCGGGTTTGGATTTGATTTGGTTTGTTTATTTGAGGAAAAGACTGTTAGAATGTTTTAACAAATTCCCGAATAATTTAAAAATGCGTCTTCACATATTATGGTAGAGTAATATAGTATAGTTGTCCCTTGAATTCTTTAAAGAGTTTTGAGAGAACTTAAATTTCCCTCCCCTGTCAGTTCAATGGAAATTTTGCTTCTGCAGTACGTTTTGAGCTGGACCACTATGCAATCTCCTCTCTATTTGAAAGTGGCATTCCTAATCATTTGGAATAAAGCTTGATTTGTAGGAAAATACAGCATATGAACATAAGGCTTTTCTCCCTGAATATGGGAGACAAATACGTTTTGAACTGGACCACTGTGCAATCTCCTCTATTTGAAAGTGGTGTTCCTAATCATTTGGAATAAATCTTGATTTGTAGGAAAATACAGCATATGGACATAAGGCTTTTCTCCCTGAATATGGGAGACTGGGTATAACCTTTGTAAATACACAGTTCTTAGTAATAATATCCCTAGATGCTGTGCAATGTGTACTATGTAACCAGCAGTTAGGCTCTAGGCCTTGTTTCTTCAAGGTGCTCTTGTATATAAAAATCTACCACTGTAAAATTCAGTTTCAGTTGAATTTAGTAAAAAACACGGAAGTTTTGTCCACTTCTGTGTTCGAAGCAGAATGCATTTGATACCACGGTGTATTATGAGATTTGTACTTTTTTTTTTTTGTAGGCAGAATGCATATGTAGCCTAAAGTGATAATGAGATGGTTTTGTAATTGACTAATCTGATGTATGTTTTTGGTGTGTTTTAGTACCTTGTGTCTGACACTGTCCTAAAGGAGCGCTTAGATCCAGAGACACTGGAGTCGTTAGGACTTATCAAGCAGTCTCAACAGTTCAATCAGAAATCTGTTAAAATAAAGACAAAACTATTGTAAGTTGTTTGGGGGAGTGGGTGGGGAGAGGCAATGGTAATTAGTCTGTAGCAATGTTTTCTAACATTGTATTTTAATAAAATACTCAGTTTTCATTAGGAAATGCGTTTTGTTACACTTTAACTTGTCATTGACAAAAAATGTTGTTAGCCCTCAGTTTCGAAACTCTTGAGAAATGGAAAATCTTTTTTTCATGTCAGCTGTTGCTATGCCTTTTGCTAACATTATTCCAAATGTGCAGATTAAATACTTAATATTTAATTGTATTTGTGAAAAATGTGAACTTAGAGTATAAGAAAATTAGTTGTTGTTGTTGTATCAGTTAAGCATAGGCATTTGTTTTCATAAATAAGTGTGGTTATGTTAGTTTTGGCATCACAGGATATGTTTTTGTGGGTATATGTTTGCTTTTTGTCTCTGCACCCAATGTTTCAATCTCAAAGAACACCACTTGAAACTAGAACAGGTCGTTAAGCACGGACTGTTACAGAGCTGTTCTCCAGAGTAGTGTGTAAGAGCAAGCTTTACTGCTAGGTGTAAGCATAGTCTTGCTTTTCAATGGCCTGCATTTGAAATAACAGAAGAGCTGGATTTGTTTGGAGAACACTTGCTACCTTGCAGGTATTCATTGTACTGCATCCTGTAATTTTTGTAATAGCTCAGTTAAATTACAAATTCTTAATAATGTGTCCAAAACTAACATTCTGTGTAACAAATTTAATATTGATAAGAGCATAAATAAGCTTCACTGTGGACATGTGTTACACAATAGTGTTTAATTTCTGTTTATTTGCAGTTATAAGCAACAGAAGTTTAACTTGTTAAGAGAGGAGAATGAAGGTTATGCAAAGCTCATTGCGGAACTGGGTCAAGACTTATCTGGAAATATCACTAGTGACCTAATCCTTGAAAATATCAAATCTTTAATAGGTAAGGAATTTGTTGAAGGAATATGGGCACTGGTTTTCCTACATGGTCTTATGACTGCAGAGAGTGACTACAGACTACTGTTTGAGATAGTCTGTGGATCAAATAATGTCATGCAGGCGTGTAGCGTGATAGTAACACATATTGGTAGATCACCTTGGATAGAATTATGACACTTGGAAGTTCCTGTTTCTGTGGCAAAATTAATTTAGGGAATGTTGCGTAGTTAAGCTTAGATACTGAATTTATGGTACAGCCTCAAATACACATGCTGTGATTTTTGATTCATTTCAGCATATTTTTTGAGGATGTGCTTGTCATCTCTTAGCAGGCAGATTGGAGCATAACAAAGTAATGCTTTTTATTATTTTAAGGTACTCAGTTCAACGCATGAATATTCTTTTAGTCTTAAAGAAGTTGAACAAGTGATTCCTTATGAAGAGAAATGAGAAGTAGTAAATGTTCTTTCGTTATCTAGTTCTGGTTGTGATTTGTCCATGTTTCCAAGTTGAGTCTTGGTGAGAGTGTCTCAGTCAAAGTGCAGAATACATTAAAACCAGGAAATATCTGTAATTTGCCATGTTTTACCCTTCCTTTTTGAATAAAGAATTTTATACAATATATTGATGTTTGCCCCAGTGCCTATTTCACGTCGTGCCAGTGCAATGATGGTCAAAAGACTACGCTACTGTTTTATAAAAGATAATTTTTCATCTATTGCAGAATTTTGCCTGAGACTGTCAAATCCCTATAATAATACTGGTGGTTTTGTAGGAGAGCTAGAGACGAGGATGGTTTTGCTAGTTATTACAGTAAAAAATACACACTCATTTTGAGGAATTTTATAGCTGTTTTCCTGTCTTCTGGAATTTTAGGAATTGCAAATAGCTTTTCTATAAATTGTCAATTATTTTAAAGTACTGACTTGCAGTAGGACCAGGTGTAGTGGAAAAGGCTTTTGGGAAGGAAAGACTGATGCAATTATATTTCTGTGTAGTGCATATGCCTGGTTGAAACTTCTCATGGCACCATGAAGAAAATAGTCTAGATGTGGATTCTTTTGGTATAAGTAGTATTTCTATCTTGACTGTGTCTCCTGGAGTGTTAGTGGGAAAGTTGGTATAGTAAAATGCAGGTATGATTACAACATTGGCTTAAGCTGATCTGTATCCTTGCTCTTGCTCCCCTCAAAATAAACAAACTGTTCTCCCTAATGCTAGCAGTAGTAATGGATTGACAGATAGTACAACTGGGTGGATCAGGGTCTAGCTCAAACCAGAACAAGTTTTGGGGTGTAAAATAATTTCTAGCTGGCTGATTAGTGTGACTGCATGGATATGTGTGCCAGCACAAGGGGAGAGGAAGCAGCCCATGCCTTTTGCTGGCACTGTGGTATTAGCGAGGTTGGGTTTTTACTTAATAAATGTTTGCCTTAAGATGGTAATTTCTAGTTTTACTGTAGTCTGAACTGGAAGTCCTCTTTAGTATCTTTGCTTAGTTCAACATAAGTCAAAAGGATCGATGATGTATTTACAGATGATAAAGATTATTTTGCTGGAGATAAATCCAGGCTCAATTTTAACTGAGAAGAATTAACTTTGAAAACTAATGCATTTGTGATTTAATAACAGAAAGAAGATGAAAAGTAGCAATGCTAAGCCTTTCTACTCTGTTCTTCTCCACCAGGATGTTTTAACCTTGATCCGAACAGAGTTTTGGATATTATCCTAGAAGTCTACGAGTGCAGGCCTGAGTACGATGACTTCTTTGTACCACTGATAGAATCTTACATGTACATGTGTGAACCTCAAACTCTATGCCATATCCTTGGGTTCAAATTCAAGTTTTATCAGGTAATGTATTTCCATTCTTACTTTTTGGTTTTGGTGGTTGGCTGTCCTCAGTGTTGAACTGCAGTCAGTAATAAGAGATTTTTGCTGCAGATTTTTTTTTTTTACCTAGAAATTGATTTCTGAGATGTAAAATTCCAGTATTAAAAGCAATAATTTCATTATTTGAGTGGAAGTCTGTAGTGCATTTTAGAAGAGAATGCTTAGCATTCTCCAAGACAGACAGCTGAAAACGATCTTGATGCTTCCATTTGAACTTGTATAGTTATATAAGGACTGACGTTAGCGAAGAGATTCTACCTTATAAACAAAAGACTTATCCCCAAGAGTGAAGGGCATGTTTGCAAGGGAGTTGATACTTGATAAAATACTCAAGTTTTAGATGTGTGTTTAGGAATTGCGTACAAGCATGTAAGGTGTGAAGATAATCAATGTTTTTGTTTCTGAAAATTCTGATTGGGTATTGCAGTTGAGTCTAGTGGCTTTAGAGTAATGGTGGTTAAATAACATGGTAACAAGAAAACTGTGGCTTAATGTGTTTCATCAACTTTGAGTATTTTCTTTTCTGTTTCGTGACCTGCAGCGGTTTTTTTGGTTTTTTCCTTGAATTTGCAATCTTGTCCTTTTTTTAGGATCCAAGTGGTGAGACACCTTCCTCCTTATACAGAGTTGCTGCTGTCCTTCTGCAACATAATCTCATAGATTTGGAAGATCTTTATGTTCATGTAAGTGACAGTGCTGCTCTGTCAAATGTCAAAAGTAAGAAAATTTTAAAAAAGCGAGCCAGGTGGTTTACCCTATTCCTAAAGCTTCAGATTAAGGACATACTGTGTAATACCTATAAATGTACATATTTTCTATCTTTTAAAATTTCCAACACTTCCTAACGCTGCAGATGAACACACACTGAAATATGGATGCTGATACACTTTCTTTGAATTATCTGTGTAGCGCCCTCCAGATTGTTTACCTCCTGCATGAATAGGAGATAGGAGTTAAATGCCTGAATATGCCTTAAATGCCTGAGTAACCTTCCTTAAGAACTAGACCCTCTGAGTGTTTTGCTCTACAAGATCAATTTCTGAAAAAAGTGGTAGGACAATCAGCTCTTAAGTCTTGTACAGTGCAACAGTAGGATTTTTTTTAATGTTACTTATCACTGGCGTCTCATTCCATCCCCAAGAATTCTGACTATGTGTTAGGTTGAAAGAGGAAAACGGAGTTATGTGTTCAGATTTAGTCAGAGATTTATCCTCTCCAGTCTGACAGTCTTATCAACCAGCCAACATACCCGTTTGGCAGATGGTAAACAAAATGTTACAGATATCGAACAATTTTACATTATACACCAACTCTTAATTTCAGAATATCCACAGATATTTTAAGACTCTCAACTCTTCCACTGAAATCAAGGAAATAAGCCCTAGTTACAGCTATGGAAACTTTGGAATGTAGTCCTGCCATTATTTGCATGGCAGTTAATAGCATTAGTCACAATCTGGTGTGTCAATAACTGTCTTTGGCTTCTTAGGAGTATTTTGGCTAAACGTGTCGGGTGGAGCAAGGGTAGGAGGGTATGTCTCAGATAGTGTGGGGGGAGGAATGCAGGAGAGTAATGAGAGTTCATTAAGGTATGTTTGTACGCTTACAAAACAAATGCTCAGACTCAGAAGTACAGTGGCTTGTGCAATCTCAACTCAGACCGGTACAGGTATGGGCATGTTTTGTGACAGGCTCGTGGCTAGAATGGTCCCTGCGTTCATTTATACTGTTCATCTTCTTCATGTTGATTCTCAGTCTCACTTTTAATCTACCTTCATTCCAGGATCTCTTTGCCAGTCTCTCTGTCTGTCTTTGCACATTTGGGATGGCATTTTTTTTCCTCTTTTCAGTTCATGCTTAATTTAACTTGCTATGGGAGTTTCAAGAAAATAATTAGTGTGTAGGTGTGGAGTCTTAAGGGGTATATATTGTGCAGCTCCTATACAATAGCAGCTGTCAGGGTTATCGTTCATATCAAGAATGTTCTCCCCCCTGTACCCTCCCTTCCCCTTCCGAGCCTGTAAGAAGAACTGTTTTCTATTTGTGTGTGTACACACACACAGCCGTGTATAATATGGATTGCAGCCTGAAGGTGTGATTTACCCCTTGAAATTCTGCGCTAGGTGTTTCTTTGTGAATCTTTAGTAGGTCATGTGTGTCTTCGCATGAGAAAAATGTAGCTTTTTAAACATTTTACCTTTCCAAGTGGGATTCTTTCTTCCCTAAATTTCTATGAAATGGAGGAATTCTACTATCCTTTTTTCTGAAGAAGCTGGTGCTTAATCTTTCTTCTACTGTCAGCTGGGAGGAGAAAAAACAGTATAAATCTTTCAGTGTTAAAAACAGTAGAAGACAAGATTACTGTATCAAAGAGGTCATGACTCTACTTATTTGCAGTTAAATTTTGAGCATGATTTTAGGAATCAAATTGAAGTTTGGCTTTGTGGGAAGAAGAGCATTTCTTCTGTCTCACAGCTTGACCTTTTAATTTTCAAGTGCAGGATTATCTTCCCCACCCTGATTGTTCTTAAGTACAGGACTGTGCTGAGGTTTTGTAGTAGCTATCTCTTAATGTGAGATGGTTTTTAAGGAACAAATGTTACATGTTTAACGCACATTACTGATAACCAGGAAATTTGGTAAGCTTTACATGGTATCCCTTTAAAATAAAGTGCAATCAAAACATGTGTCTAAGTAGGTTACCTGGTTTTCCTTGGTGATGACTTTTTTTTCATTTCGATAAGCAAGTGCAAATTTGTGCTTTTGAATATTCACTTTGGTTTAAGGCACTGAATTTTGTAAATGTGAATAAAATCAAGTATGTGCGTAATTGTCACCGTGTAACTACAGCTGAATGGTAAATCGGAGAGGGGAAGGGGAATTTGCACCACTAGTGGCTGTGAGGAAGTAGAACAGTGTTGTTTCTCACGAGTCCTTGATTTCGGAATACTTCTTTATTGGGATGGTGGTGGCAAGGAAAAGAATCTCCTAGGGACTAAGTTTAGTTGATTAGTGACAAGGAAGGACAAATGTCTGCTTCAAGCTCAAGTGATCAAAAGTAGCAGTAGGTCACTTTAAGATACAATGTTTGTTTGTTTGTTTTTTTAGCTTCTTCCAGGGGATAATACTATTATTGAGGAACACAAGCGAGAGATAGTGGAAGCTAAGCAAATTGTCAGAAAACTTACAATGGTTGTCTTATCCTCTGAAAAGACCGAGGAAAAGGAGAAGGAAAAAGAAAAAGAGGAGGAGAAAACTGAAAAGGTGTGTGTGTGAATAGTTCTCTTTCCAAGAAAATAATTTTAAATTATTTTAAACTGAACATAATAATTGTTATGAAAACCTTTTTATATTTATGTGAAACATACAGGTACGTGGAAGGCTGGTCTCTGTCCTGTGATTGCTCTTCGGTTATACTGAATGGGCAAAACTGCATGGTTTGGGGGTTGTTCTGGTTTTCTCTAGGTCTAATGTTCTCGGTTCAATGGCTAGTTAATTTCTTTCTTCCTTTTTGTTGTGTCAGCGCCACGAAGTATGTCCCAGCATTCATATACTTCACAGTCTAACAGCTGTGTTTTCTGGGACCTCTGACAGTATAATCCTAGTTGATTTCTTAAAAATAAGGATGTTAGTAAGAGTTCATTCCTTATTTCTCTCAATCAAGAATTGCAAGAGAAATTAAGAGACTTTTAAATCCAGAACAACACACAACGCAAAAAGATTCTTAAATGCTTGCATTGTTCTTGAAATGTCATGTAAAGGAATAAGCTGCAGTAGATCGTGACATTTTGAAAAGTACATGATCAGACATATGTCAGACAACTTTGTAAACTTCTGTTTTGAACTTTATTTTTAACTTTTTTCTATGATTCAGATGTTAGCTTCTATGTGGACTGGTTTATTATTGCTTTTGAAGTGTGTTTATTGTCTAAATGTCTAGCTGAGTTTTATTTTACATGCTTTTTTATGACGTAGTTGAAATACTCGGGTGTTTTTCTAGCTGTGCATTACAGCTGCATACTGCTTAAGGAGAAATACTAAGATGACTTTCTGAATACACTTTTTCATTAGTTGTTTGTTATCTTGCAGCCTCCTGATAATCAAAAGCTTGGTTTATTGGAAGCTTTATTAAAAATTGGTGATTGGCAGCATGCACAAAGTATTATGGATCAGATGCCTCCGTTTTATGCTACTTCACACAAGTCTATTGCAATTGCCCTTTGCCAGCTCGTACACGTGACGATTGAACCTCTGTACCGCAGGTAAAGTGAAAAGTAGAATCCTGTTGCTACGTGGGGGAAAACTACTATTTCTTTATAAGCATGAATTCACTAATAAGCCTAACTGTATTGATATGTCTCTAAAATTTTCCCTTCTGGTTTATGTGAAATGCTGCACATCTTATTTTTCAGAGTTGGTGTACCTAAAGGAGCTAAAGGGTCACCAATTTCTTCTTTGCCAAACAAGAGGGCACCAAAACAAGCAGACAGCTTCGAGGACTTGAGAAAGGAAGTGTTCAACATGCTTTGTTACCTTGGTCCTCATCTCTCCCATGATCCCATTTTATTTGCAAAAGTGGTGCGCCTTGGAAAAGCATTTATGAAAGAGGTTGGTATGACGGAACAGCTTGTCCAAACTTGAAAAATACCAGTTCATCTGATGTAAAAAAAAAAAAAAAATAATAAAAAAAAAAAATCAAGTCCTACTAATTGTGTGTATATTCAAATACTGAAACATAAAATTTCTTTGACTAAGGACGAATTTGGAGAATCTTACTTTAATTCTTGATCCTCTTCATGATCAATAAACGTTTTTATGAACAACTTGAGGCACTTCAGGTTTATAACCAAGAACACCTAGTGATAACTGCTTTCTCATTATGGTCCTTATCTTTTAAAACATTATCTGTCTATGGATTTTTTTTAAAAAAATAAGGACATATGATACTATCTGCATGGAAGCTTTTACATTATTAGAGTGACAGTGTAGACAATGGGGAACAACAACATGATACACATCCAGTACGTAAAATAGTACTTTCTACTCCATCTGTTAGGTTACCTGGAAAGTGTTGGATGTCGCATCTTCTTAATTAGTGGGGTGTCCCCCTGTTCTGCCAGTTAAAATGCTGCTGTTCTTGAGCTTGTGTCAGTGACAAATCTCTGGATGCCACTAAGGATGAGTTCCGTATTGAAAACACCCTATAAAGCCTTAAGTTGCCAACTTGAGAAATAAAATGGCCTCTTGAGATTTGTTGTTGTCTTTTGACCATGACTTTACCACATATATATTGAAAGATCGGTTGTATAACCTGCTTTAAAAGGCTGCAAGTTGCATTTATATTCTGAACTCAACGATTGAGGATTTTAAAAAGCAGCTCAGAGAAACTTCGGAATTCATAGTTTTTAATGATTATTAAAACAAAGGCAAAAAACCCCCTCAAACTTAAAAATCACTATTTTTGTTACCTAGCTTTTAATTTTAACTTGTAACTGAAAGTTGGAGAGGTTGGTTGACCTAAACAGTATTGGAGGGGAGATTTTTCAGTTTATAACTTTTTTTGTTAAAAGTAGTTTTATTTCAACTACAACTAACAAATATTGGAATGTTCAAAATTGATCTACCACCTGAGGGGAAGCTTTCATGTCCAGCAGTACTTGAAGATGCAGAGCTAAGAACACAGATAATTCTTGGGATCGATGGTATTTCTGTCTAACTTGACAGACTTTTGTTCAGAGCATTTGCTCTCATCGGTTCTAAGATGGAGCGATAGGGTGACAGAAGCTACACCAGGTTTGGGTTCTGAGTAGCCCTGGTAATAAAATCATGGTAACTTCAATCATTTCTGTCTTCCCCTACTCCCATATTTTTGTAGGAGGTATAATTTCTCAGCATCTTCTCATACAGAAGGATAAGGTTTCCCAATAGTTAATGCACTTGAGTTACAGCATGCTTATTTCTTACTTGCCTGTGAGAAGATTTATATTTGAGTGATACGCTGTGTTGCACTGACAATGCAGTTAATTTGGAAATTATCATTCCAAGGGAGTAATTAATTTTACTGCTGTCAGCAGACTGTTAGGACTCCTCTGTAATTAAGTTCAGTCACCGAAGGTTTGTGAGAAAGCCCTTATTTCTTTGTTGGTATGTACGGTAGAATGGTGATTGCTTGGTTATAGGAATCTCTCGTGTAGTTTTACTGTAAATATATGATTATAATAGTTTAATGTGTTTCTGACAAGAATGAGCAACATTTTAGCTATTTGCTTTAGGTCGGAACTGTGAAGAAATTCGTCAGTGACAGAGTGGTTAAGGTAACATAGGGAAAGTTATTCTTAATGCGCTATTGCCATCAGCATGTTCTAGTTATGAAACTACATTTAACACACAGTAGAAATACCTGTAACTGGAGGTGATTTGACTGCGAGTTAACCCCTACAGTAGTTTAAAAGTTAGGCTACTAACATTGCACTGCAGCTTTCGTGCTCAAGTGTACCTTTAAAATAATTGTGCACTTACTGGTGTGATAGCTTAATATGCTTTTCGTGGTGAGTGGAACAAGAAGAGAGAGAAGAAAGTAATGTAAATAATAAAACCCTCTGAAGCTTTTAGTCTTTATTTTAAGAAGAAAGATGGGGAAAATAATCTATGGCTGTTGATAATTGGGTTGAAAGTCCTGGGGTTTTTTTAGGTAGAGGGTGAATGCTTAGGGCATTTTTTTTCCTCTCCAGTAAGAATATTCAGTATTTCATATATAATAGTAAGTTTCCTTGATATTTTAGTTATTATCTCTCTTCGAACAAAAGTGTGCAAAGCCCCTGTATGGGTAAGCCATGCATTTCATCGATACGTTTGCATTTCTGTTCAAAAATATTTTAATGGTGACAGATCTGGAAAATTAAACATTTACGAGGCATGTGGCCCTTCAGGTTTATGCTTTTGCTGAGGTAGCCTTCTTTTGAAACCGTAACTGTAGATAATTAATGTAACAATTAACTTAATTGTCTTTGTTACAGTTTCAGTCTGATGGAAGCAAACAAGAAGATAAAGAGAAAATGGTGAGTTTCTTTTGCAGGAAGGTGTTTTTATGCGAGATTGTAATTGAGACCAAATGTTTAATAACTGAACAGCTCTTCTTTCTTTGTAGAGTTTTGTGCTTTAACAAGTGTACGTTATAGACTTCTCTTGATTTTTATAGACAAGTTTGAGCCGGTCACAGGGGTGTCTTCTGTACTCTTGTCCTTTTTTTCTTTTTTTTCATTCTCTTTCGTTTAATAGTACAATGGCTAATTTTTCTTTATTGGCTAATTTATTTCTTTCTAAATTTTCTAATTTTTTGAGTTATCAAGATGGGTCACAATGAAACCCAAGTGTCCAGTTGAGATCTAACTTAGAAAAACAAGGGGGATTTTTTGTGTGGTTGGTTGGTGTTTTTTTTTTTTTTTAAATCAGCCAGCAAGTTTTCAATGCGAAGTTTGTGCAGTTTTCATTATTACTTTCATTATTCTTTATTGCTCCTGTTTCTCTCTTGTCATGATTTCCTGACTTCCTGAATCATTGCAGAGAAAGTTAATCTTTTCTGTTTGGTTTTTTGTTTGTCAGTGTTTTTTTTTTTGTTTTGGTGTTTGTTTGTGGGGTTTTTTGTTTGGTTTTGTTTTTTTTTCTGCTACGGTTATTCTGACATAGCTCAATGGGAAAGAGAAATGTTTAAGAAAGGGGGAGGATATGCTGCTGGAATGTGTCAAAATGAAGCCAGGATACCAGCTTTAGGTTTTAATGTGAAATTTTGAAAACAGAAGTAGTGGCAAGGAATACCTAAATCCATTGGAAGCAGTTGCCAAAATCTGTTTTCTCCTGTTGCGCTTTGTGCAAGTCCGCAGTGTATCTGTTTTTAAATGGTTTGTTTGATTTGAAAATACAAGTGCAACTTGCTGAAAACTTCAGGGGCTTGGTTCAAGTATCTTATATAGGCAAATAAAATGTTGGCAGTGTATATGGTCCATAAATTATGTAATAGAAGATTTATGGTGGGTTTGTTTAGGAAGCCTTAACCTTGTGGCAGACTTGTCTTTTATCAATCTGAGATGTGCCGTTTGTGGGTATCTGCATAGCGTTGCTTCTGATGTACATACTTGATAGTTACCTTGAGTTTTTTGTCTTTATCTCAGGAGATACTGTTTAGCTGTTTGCTGAGTATTACCGATCAAGTCTTACTTCCATCTCTTTCTTTGATGGACTGCAATGCATGCATGTCTGAAGAATTATGGGGAATGTTCAAAACTTTTCCATACCAGTACAGGCGAGTAGAATAATTTGTTTCCGTTCTTTGGAAGTGATCTCTTGAATTGTCAGTACTAAAAATACTTTTGCTATATAATCTTTCAAGGTACCGTCTTTATGGGCAGTGGAAGAACGAAACATACAATAGTCACCCACTTCTAGTGAAAGTGAAAGCTCAAACCATAGACCGAGCCAAATACATCATGAAGTAAGTTGTAAATTATTATTCCGTAGATAACTATCAGCTGTGATACAACAAACTGCATGCCGTCAACTGAAGGGAAAAAACTCGACAAATACATTCCCATTCTAATGACTCAGGAGCTTCGCTGATAATCCTTGTTCATGAAGTGTTTAATGTACTGTGATTAAAGACTGTCAAATAAGTAAGGGCACGGGCAAATTTGTCACCAACAAGTGTATTTAATCTGTCAAAAATGTCCCATTAAATTATTTAAAACCATTTCCATGGGTTTGCTGTTGTTTGATAAATTGCTTTGCTTATGGAAATGTCAGAATGCAACATACTTTCCTTAGGTATGGAGACTCTTTAATCTGAAGTCTCAAAAATCTTATCAGAGTTTCTGTGGGTTTGAAAGTAGGGCAGTAAGTTGAATTGAATGGAATGATTTATTCTCATCTTCAAGCAAGCTCACAATTTCAGTTTTACCTCAAATTTAAGGTCTCTGACATCACTGCCAGGGATTCGGGTTGTCCATTTGTTCCCAAAAGCAAATGCTATGTTTTTATAATGTGGATAATTAGAACCTTTCTACACAGGCAAGACAGAATAATTGTTATTGGGTAAAAGACTTGGGACTTGCAGCTGTGAAAGCTAGAAACAATGATTTTGATTCTCTTCTGACTTGCTGCATAGCTAGCCTAGACTGTAAAACTTCACATCCCATCTCTTGCACAGAGGATTTCAGTTGTGCGGACGAGCCGTGGTGCTGTCAGTTGTTGAGGTCGCTATGCGTGCAATTTACTGTGGGGTATGGACTTCAGGTTTCATGTTAAGCTCGTATCTTCAGTAGGGGGTGCTTTGGGAGTGTAACACAAGTAGTTTCTCAATGAACAGAATGCAACAAATGCAAAATGACTGATCTGTGGCTAAATTAAATTTGCAGACGAGAGTAACAGCATCACATGCTATTTTTATATGTGGTGTAGGTCCCACTGACAACCTCCAAATGCGAAGTGCTCAGAGTTGAAACTAGAGTACATAGCAATATGGGGACAGCTGGTTGGTTTGTACTCTCTGCATGTTAATAGGATTATGAATTACCAGAGGAGTAGTATTTTTATGCTTTGGTTTCTTAAAAACGCATCTGCTAGTGAGAATTTAATCTCTGTGACTAATAGAAGTGTTTCTTTGCTGGAACTAACCTATTGTTTTAGTGTTCTTTTAGCTCATCTGTTGCAATAAAAGATGTTCTCTTTTACAGACGTTTAACTAAGGAAAATGTGAAACCCTCTGGAAGACAAATTGGGAAGCTCAGCCACAGCAATCCTACAATTTTATTTGATTATGTATGTAGTTACATGTATTTGAATACCATTTCATTTGAACAATAGGTGTTAAAGTATAGGAAGGGACCTGCTGTCTTAGTGAGAGGGCAGTTCTAATTTCATTATTTTTTACTTCTAATGCTTGTTCTCCCTAGTAACAAGTGATAGAACAAGGGGAAATGGCCTTCAGCTATTTTAGGGAGGTTCACGCTGGTTATCAGGAAGAATTTCTTTACTGAAAGGGTTGTCAGGGAACAGCCTGCCCAGGGAAGTGGTGGAGCCACCATCCCTGGAGGTGGTGAAGAGACGGGTGGATGTTGTACTTAGGGACGTGGTTTAGTGGTGTTGGTAGAGCTAGGACAAAGGTTGGACTCAATCTTGAAGGTCTGTTCCAACTGAAACTGTTCAATGAATCTATGATTTTATGAAATTTTAAAATATGGGAATCTGCTAGTAGTGCAGAGGTCCGAGTTATTTAATATGACAACAGCTCTTGAATTGCCACAACTGCACAGAAAATTACATCCAGTTATTTAAAGGAGTAAAGTATTTAATTTGAGGTAGCTGAGGTGGGTCTCAGAGGTACGGGGAGGTGCTGATCAGGTTATGCAGAATGCAAATCCAAGGTCAGTTGCTCTGGGTGTTGTATACGTGTGTGATGAAGATACATCAGGGTCACTTAGAAGAAAACTTAAATCTTTGAAGTCTGAAATACACCTATGAAGTTGAGGAGGATATTTAAGATTAGTTGGTGCTACAGAATGCTAGAGAGGTGTAAAAGTATGTTGATGGACCTCCACCTTAGTCACCAATGTGACTTGTGACTATTGATCTACCAGTTTTTAGATTTTACTTGAAGACATCAGTACTGCAATAAGACACGTTTGTGCATCATGTACCAAAGAGAACATTCTAAAATTTGATAAATACAGTTCACTTGTATTCTTTCATGACCTAGGTTCATTTTTTTATAGTCTTTTGTTACTATAAGTAGCAACAGAAACTCTTACTGCTAAGATTAGCGGTAAAAAAACCTTAGAAACAAATGAGTGAAATCTTTTCACAATTTTATTTTCTGATAAATGAAAAGAAAAATAATTATACAGAATTGCTTTTACGTGTTAGAGACATGTTTCACTGATATCTCTAAGGTACTATATAAATTCATCAGACTACCTATTACTTTGAAAATTCTGAAAAATTAATTTCAAAGCATGTTTTGTGTAGGTTTTTGAAGACAAGCAATGTTAAACAGTTCTGATTATTATGTGAAAGATAAGGCATACTGTTCCTGTTTAGCTGAATATCTGTTGTAACTTTCAGATTTTATCACAAATACAAAAATACGATAACTTGATAACTCCGGTGGTTGATTCACTGAAATACCTCACTTCGCTGAACTACGATGTCTTGGCATGTATCCTTTGATGTAAATCAATACATCTTGTTACTGATGAAAGTAACAAGATTAAATCTGTGGTCTGTGAGTATTATCTTCTATTGTTTTCTGTTCTTGCTGCTTTTTGCTGGAAATGTTAGTGAACTTTGCCAATACCTTTGCACTCTTAGTGGGTTACAGAGCCCTCTCTATTCGTTCTTTCACACTGTGAAAATTATAGGGATTTTTTACTACTTCCATTCAGTTCTTGAAGGCATAGTGATCCTGTAAATAGTGAGATAAATACTCTTTAAATTACCATTTCTCTCATGATTTTATTTTTTTATACCATAACTATGATAGTGGATCCCCTATGTCACGCTTGCTATACTTCCATATCATGTTCATATATTACACATTGTGGAGCTGGAAAAAAAGATCTGTGTAACTTCTGTTTTTACAAATTGAGGAAAAATATTCTCCTTAACTCCACTTAAGACTGTATCATTGAAGCTTTGGCAAACCCCGAGAAGGAGAGAATGAAGCATGATGACACTACAATCTCGAGCTGGCTGCAGAGTTAGTATTTTTGTTTTATTTATTCCATTAATGTTTAAAATACTTCACCTTCCCTATGATCTTCCATACTATTGATCATTATGATCGATATTTCGCTTGGATCTACCAGGTAATTTTTTAAACAAAACAGAGAGCTGACAAGTTTAATCAATAGGAAAATATTTTTTTGCTTGTATTATAAAAATATATTTAGCTAACATTCCACATGTACATTGTTAATGCTTATTTGATGATTAATATCTCATGAGGTGCAGTCACAGCTGTCTCTCCTTGCTTTAGGTCTGGCTAGCTTCTGCGGTGCGGTTTTCCGAAAATACCCAATTGAACTTGCTGGTCTACTGCAATATGTCGCCAACCAACTGAAAGCTGGGAAGAGGCAAGTCTTGCACAACTATTCTTTATAAACTCGGGTTTTGTGATGTATTATTTGGGTGTTTTGCTGATATGTGGGCACTTGATGTATTAATTGCTCTACTAGTGGTAAAACTCCATTCATAATACCAGGAAGGTTAAGAAATTTAAATAGCAGAAAGAATATCACCTTTAGTACGTTATTTTTCCTCTAATTGTATGGCTGTGACATATTATTTTTGAAGTACTGATTTTTTGTTTGTAACTTACTTTTAATACAGTTTTCTTAACAGCTAGCCAGATAGGGTAAAACCCCTGCTGGTCTGTAGTGTTGTCATAGAAAGTATTGTACGTTCTTTAAAAAAATAAGTATCAGTGGTACAAAAGGGTGTGACTGTTACAGTTTGAGTTTTTTCTTTCTCATAATGTTTCCTTTGCAGGGGTGGCTCTTAATTAACATTTTAATATTATTTTAAATACTTTGTCCAATTTGTTTAATGGCAGTTGAATTGCTTCTTGATAAGTCAGTGTTAAACAATTTTTTTTAAAGAAGGTTTGCAATTTAAATCTTCCTTTTCCTTTTGTCCTTCCATCGTCATCACTTAGTATTGTTTCATTTATTTATTTAACTTCAATGTGTTATTTTTATCACATAGGTGAGTATCAACTTTTTTCTGTTATGAATCCCCATATGCTTACTGAAAGACAGCTTACCAGTGGAGATAACTCAGCATGTAATTTTAGGGTCTTTATGTTGAGAAATCTAGGGTTTTTTCCCTTCCCTGCAATGTAGACACTCAGTTTCATGTGCTCCCCTGTCCCCAATTTATTTTGTATTCTGATGATGGTACAATCACATTAAGCTACAGAGGAAGGGTAAGTAATGTTTCTTGTCTTTCCCCAGAATTTAAACTGTCAGTATTTAGGAAAAAAAAAAAAATTTTAATACTCAGTTTAGTGTTTGGGACCGTAGAAACAAAATGGATATATCGCTATGACCAGTTTCATAGGACTGGACTATTCGAGTATTTGAATCGGAGTATATGCTGGTGTTGCGTAGTTCCTAGTCAGAAAACACATTTTTTGATTGGAAAGGCAAACAAAAGTATAAACAATACACATTATTTAAATGTAAAACTTTGCCTTGGAGAGCATGGATCAACACTTTTTATAAGTAGGTCACACAAATTGCAGAAGTTACTGGAAAATATTGCTGATTTGAATGATCATGATACAGTTTACTATATTGTGTAAAGTCATTGTCCTTGTAGAATTCAGAGCAGGAAGTAGAGCCTAGTCTCTGGATGAGGTGATTATTGGAGTGTTTTGTATATTTTGTGTTTTAAGTAAAAATCTTTTCCATGTTCCAAATAGCCTCTCTGGACTAATTTTGCCAGTAAATTTCTATGGCCATCTACTATTCTAGAAATTTTTAATAAAATTTAAAATATTCCATGTTCGTGAAATGACTGTATAGATACAATATGAAGCATGTAAAAGAACAAAAGGGAGCAATAAACTTTATGATTAATTTTTGATACTTAAAAGTTAATAGCACCACGCTCACTATTATTTTCAAAACCGATGAAATTGTTTTGAAGGGGTTCTGAAATCCAGCTGTTGAATGTGCCTGCATTACTCTTAAGTACTAACTTTTTACTTGCAATAAAGAAATCCTTGTGGGCTCAAGGTACTAGTTTTTTCTTCAGAAAAGAATTAAACTGTTAATTTGTTTTAACGTGCATCATAGTGTTACTTTGTACTGTGTATTGAATATCATAGTTTCCGTTTCTTAAACAAATTTTCTTGTTTTTACTCCACTTTTCTATTTTCTGTGCAGCTTTGATTTGCTTATTTTAAAAGAGGTAGTACAGAAAATGGCAGGGATAGAAATTACAGAAGAAATGACAATGGAACAATTGGAAGCCATGACTGGTGGTGAACAACTGAAAGCTGAGGTGTGTTTGTGTTAAACTTAATAATAGCTACTGCTTATTAATGGTGGTTCTGCTTCATGAACTCTGGCCGCATAGCTGAGAAAGGTGTTAGTGCCTTCCCCAGAGTGCTTTGCAAGCCTTGCAGCAGGCAGCCAGCACAGAGTACCCGTGAGCCTTCGCGGCTGTGCTTCGCAGCAGCTCGTGTTAACGAAAGCAGCCTTCGTTAGCCATGTGTTACATGACAGACCTGCGAATCACAGCAGCCAGTGAGCTTGTGGTTCGTGCAGTCCTACCGTTTTAGCCCTGCTCTGGGGGCAGCAGCTCCCGGTTGAGTGGAGTAATATCCTGAACTATTTTAACAGCTAAAATTGTTACAGCCTTGGCGTCAAAGACCCAGTTGAGTTTGACCTAGACTCGACTCCCTAGGGAATTGAATGGCTGTGATTGGAACTAAAATCTGAAATTCCTGTATTGAACAGAGAAGAGACTTTAAGCAGGTCACAGCAGACCTAGGTCTAAAATGCACTGTCATGATGCCTGAGCTGAAATGTCACTCTTAGTTTACTGGGTAAAAGACTAATTAATAGCGTGCAAGACTGGGTGGTTTCTGATTGTTATATACATACATTGCAGTACAGGATCCAGAGAGAGTGTTTTATTGATGGATAAGAAACTGTGTTGATGTTAATTCATCAGTATTTCTGCAGGCAGCATACATGGTTTCAGTTTGTGATGTGCTATTTCCAAACTTGGGTAACTTTTTCCTTTTTCTGTACTCACTATGCAGGGTGGATACTTTGGCCAAATCAGGAATACAAAAAAATCTTCTCAGAGATTAAAAGATGCGTTATTGGACCATGATCTTGCCCTTCCACTGTGCCTGCTTATGGCTCAACAGAGAAATGGTGTGATCTTTCAAGAGGGAGGGGAAAAACATCTGAAGCTGGTGGGAAAACTGTATGATCAGGCAAGTAAAACCAGTTGCATTTATAAGAACTCTTCCTTTTCTGTGATAACTTCTAGTGTGTCTGCACAATATAGAAGAATTCAGCACATAAATAAGAAAATACAAGAATTCAGCACAATAAATACAAATATATAAGAATTTTCAAAATTAGTTGCAGTGATCTCATTAGAATATAAGGGTGTATTAAATATGTATTATATTGACAAGTAACTTCTAAGTGAAAAATGAAAACATCCTTTGTAATGAGTTAATTTCTTACTTCTTAAGTCAGCTATTATGGTTTTCTGATCTTGCTTAGAGGAATTTTTATTTTTAGAGAAGCAGCCTGAATTCTGTTGCTGCCTTGGTGTACTATGTGTTACCTTTTTTAAAAAGAAAAAAAAAAACAACAAAGCAACAAAACAAAACGAAGAAGGCTTTCAAGCTCTCCCTAACTTCACTTTTGAACAAAATAATAAAATAATACTCTTTACCAACTTTTTCTTGTCACTTTCACATGTAGTGCCATGACACCCTGGTACAGTTCGGTGGGTTTTTAGCATCCAACCTCAGCACAGAGGATTACATTAAGCGAGTGCCTTCTATTGATGTTCTCTGTAACGAGTTTCACACACCTCATGATGCTGCATTTTTCCTCTCGAGACCCATGTATGCGCACCATATTTCAGTAAGTAGGACTATTCTCTTTGCCTGCTGTTAGTGCTGCTATATTAGGTGTTATCAGCCTATGTGTTAGGTT